ACCATGCTGAGCAAGGAAACCAAATCATAGACAAAAAAAAAACAAACAAACATGGTATGTACTCACTCATATGTGGATTTTAAACACAGAGTAAAGGATTACCAGCCTGCAATCCACACTGCCAGAGAAGCTAGTAAACAAGGAGGACCCTAAGAGAAGACATACATGGTCCCCTGGAGAAGGTGCATAGGTCAAGATCTCCTGAGCAAATTGGAAGCACAGTAGGTGGGGGGAGGGTGCTTAGGAGAATGAGAAGGGGAGAAGAAGAGGTGTGAGGAAGACATGAGTGAGCAGAAAGGTTAAGTCAGGGGAAGAATAGAAGATAACAAGAAAGGGGATACCATAATATAGGGAGACATCTTAGGTTTACAGAGAAATCAGGCACTAGGGAAATGTCTGGAGATCTACAAAGATGACACCAGCTAACAATCTAAGCAACAGAGGAGAGGCTACCTTAAATGCCCTCCCCTGATAATTAGATTGATGACTGACTTATATGTAACCCGATAGCCCTCATCCAGCACCTGGTGGAAGTAAAAGCAGACACCCACAACTACTCACTGAACTGAACTGGAATCCAGTTGCAGAGAAGGACGAGTGATGAGCACAGGGGTCCAGACCAGGCTGGTGAAACCCACAGAAGCAGCTGACCTGAACATTGGGGAACTCTTGCTTCCCAAACTGATAGCTGGGATACTAGCATGGGACTGATCCAGACCATGGGAACGTGGGTTTCAGTGAGGAAACCTGGGAAATCTATGGGACCTCCTGTAGTAGTTCAGTACTTATCCCTAGCATAGGTGTGGACTTTGGGAGAGTATTCCATATAGAGGAATACTCCCTGAGCCAAGACACACGGGAGTGGGCCTAGGCACTATCCCAAAGGATACGATAGACTCTGATGACACCCTATGGAAGGCCTCACCATCCAGGGGGAGCAGAAAGGATATGTGATAGGGAGGATTTTATTTGGGGGGGGGTGGGGGGGGGGGGGGGAGGGAGAGGGAACTGGGATTGACATGTAAAACAATCTTGTTTCTAATTCGAATAAAAAATAAATTTGAACACTTCTTGTTTGTGTGTGGATATTTTCTTGGCAGTGAGGCCACAAGCTACTTACCCAATAGGTGAATATTTTCTCTAGACAACCAGTTTGCTGCTAACCTAGATCTGCTATATGCGGCATGGAGACCACAAAAAGTCTGTCTATAAATCAGGGAGAAGGGCGCCTGTGATGACACTTAGAATTTTGTAGTGTCTGGAGTGCGGAGCATCAGGAGATGCTCACATAAAACTTGGCAGTAAGTACTAGAGATGGAATTAATCAAGAAGGCTGTTGGTTAAGCATTGAGGTAAGAGAACAGAGAGAATTGGATTTCGGGGACTTTCCTGAGCAAGCATGATGAGAGAAGGAACCAGCAGCTCTTTGGCCAGGAATCTTCTCTGAAGCCAAAGCAACTTAGATCAGGGAAACAAAGGCCAGAAGCTGCATTTCTCCCAGGGAACTGTCCTGTTCCCCAAGGCTTTCTGGCAGAGACTTCAGTTTTCGTTCATTTTTAAGTGTGGGTGTTTTGCCCATCTGTATGCCTGTGCAACCACATGTGTGCAGTGCCTGCAGAGGCCTAAAGAGGGCATCACATCCACTGGAACTGGAGTTACAAGTGGTTGTGAACCACCTTGTGGGTGCTGGGAACTGAACTCCGTTCTCTGCAAGAAAGAGCATTCAGTGTTGTTAACTACTGAGCAATTTCTCCAGCCCCATAGACACTTTTATTCATTGGTGACTCAAGCTGCACTTGAGAACTCCAGGTGGCCGTATTCTCAGAAGGGAGGTGAAGTTCTGAACCTCTGGTTCAAGTCTGATCTCTCAACTAAACGTCCATTATTGACTTTTCTCTTTCTGCTTCCAGACCCGAAAGGATTTTTTTCAGCTGATGATGAACACTCAGAACTCCAAAGGCAATGAGTCCCAGAAAGGTAACCCAGGGTGCTTTACTGTGTGTTGATCAAGAAGCTCAGAGAGAAAAGAGTGTCAGGACATGTGCAGGGGGAAGTCCAGGATGGAAGCTTCTGACAAACTTCACAAAGACACATGCATGAATGATATTTATGGTTTCCATGGGAGCTTTCTAGAAGTACCCTGGTGTAAAAGAACCAGAGCCTCTAGGGAAGCTACAGAGAAGCATTTCATGCCCTGAAGTCCTCAGTGGTGCTGGGTCATCTTTCAGAGCAGAGTCTGATTCTTAGCCCCTTCCAATCCCACTGATTCTGGATCTCTGCCTGGCAATATGACTCTGGGCCTCAATCAGGAAACACACTGTCCAGCAGTGGGGATGGTTCCTGGGAGTGAGTGATGGAATTGTGTTCAACAGCTTCATCTGAATTTACTCTGCTCTGTGTAAATAGCATCTGGGATACTAAATACCCTGGTCTTCATCATTCTTTAAATCCCCTGTTTCATATCATTTCAAGGTTCCCCAGATGTAAAAGGACCAATTTTGATGCTGTTCACCTAACATTTTTCTTGGATTTCATACCTAGTACTCGTCCATGCACAGACACAGCCATTCTGTTCCTCTGGTGGCAGGCACAGCTTCTGCTCTTCCAGCATTTTCTTTCTCTGTAGTTTATGTGTGTACTGAGATCATATGCTGTGAAGACTGAAACCCCAGGTCTTCTGTCACCTGGTCCCTATCAAAGGCACAATCCCTTCAATTGAGTCTGTGAACACAAATGTCCACACATAGTGACACTTTAGACACTGCTGGCAGAGTTAGGGAGGTTTGGAATTTATGTTTCTAATAAGTGCCTAGATGCTACTGGTCCACCAACCACATTTGACTATTAGGAGTTTCCCTGTAGCCTCATGTTGTTCTTTGAGTCCTCTCAAAGGTGTTTAATGGTTCCTATTTTTTAAGATTTATTTCTATATCATGTCTATAAAAGTAAGTGTGTGTGTGTGTGTGTGTGTGTGTGTGTGTGTGTGTGTGTGGTGTGTGTGTGTGCTGGAACCTGTGGAGGCCAAAAGAGGACATTGGATCCCCTAGAACTGGAGTTACAGGCAATATTGAACTGCCATGTGGGGAATGGGGAGCCAACTCAGGCCCTCTGCAAGAGCATCAAGTGCTCTTAACCACTTGACCATCTCTCCAGCCCCCTCAAAGGTGTTTAGTTGGAAGCTACTTGAATTTTCATTCCATGAAGCATTGATGTGATGAACACTCAAACATTTGCCACCTATACTTTAATGAAAATCATTTAAATTTTTTCCTGGGTAGCTAAGGTATTCCATATTTTGCTTGTAGCTGTGGTTTTTGGACTAGTCATTTATATTGTCACTGTGGCAAAAATAATTGACAGAAACAATTTAAGGAAGGTTTCTTTTTTCTGACTTTGAGGGTATAGTCCATCATACTGGAGAAGTCATGGCAGCAGGAGCATGAGGCACACCGCATCCATGGTCAGGAAACATGAATGCCAGGCCTTTGCTCTCTTCTTTTTATTCAGTTCAGGAAGCTAGCACCTGGAAGAGTGCCACAATCAGGATAGATATTCCAGGACTGGAGAGGTGGCTCTGCAGTCATGAACCCTTGCTGCTCTTCCAGAGGACCTGAGTTTGTTTGCTAAGACTCATGATAGGCAGTTCATAATCACTTGTAACTCCTGCTCCAGGAGATCTGACACTGTTTGATTTCAGTGCACACACACACACACACACACACACACACACACACACACACACACACAGTGAATTTTAGAAACAAGATGGGTCTTCCCATGACAATTAACATAATCAAGATAAACCCTATGCATCTATCAGGAAGCAGGTTAGTTTTGATGACATCACAACACCGTGCCTAGGAACTTATCTCCTAGGTGACTCTGGATCCTGTCAAGTTGCAAGTCACTATCAACTACTGCGGTACTTTTGTTTTCATTCTACACTAATATAACAGAGTATGTTACAGAGAATTCTGTCTCTTGAAATTGCCCAGTTGAGATGATTTTAATTTGACCTAATATTTGGCCACAAATAATATAGATCTTAGGCCATCCTGGATTAAAATAATTTGACCTTGGGACTGGAGAGAAGGCTCAGCAGTTAAGAGCGCTGGCTGCTCTTCCAGAGGACCTGGATTTGATTCACAACACCAACACGACAGCTCACAGCCATTGTAATTCCAGTTGCAAGGGATCTGATGCCTCCCCTAGCCTCCAAGGACATCAGGAATGCATGTGGTACACAGGCATACATGCAGATAAACTACCAATACACATAAAATATACTTAAAATAAAAATTCGACCTTCTTCTGGTATATCAGACAAACACCAGAGTGGAACTCAGTCCCAGTGACTCTGGACTGCCTTTCTCTGTTCTTCCCGAGACAGCTGGGGGCACCATCTGAATTTCTTCTCATCTCAACTCTGAAGTTCTACTTCGATCCTCTTTGTCTACACTGTTCTTTTCCTTTTAGCCCTCTCCGATCTGGAAATGGCAGCACAAACCATTATTTTCATTTTCGGTGGATATGAAGCCACAAGCACCTCCATTTCCTTCATGTTGTATGAACTGGCCACCCACCCTGATGTGCAGAAGAAACTCCAGGATGAGATTGACAGAGCTCTGCCCAATAAGGTGAGTAGATGGTACCCAGAGAGGGAGGGCAGAGGTAAAGGATTAGCAAGAACAAGTCTCATCACTGGCAATGAGAACGTTGATAAGGAGCCATACAAAGGTTCTTCCATCCAGCAAGAGTCTAAGAGAAACAAAGGGAGGGACATAGGAGATGAATGTGACCTGCAGAAATATACAATCTTTAGTACAGTGCTGGCTCTGGTGTATCTGGTATCTGTTATAATAGCAACACCAAGTAAGAGACACCAGGAAACCAGTGTGACACTTGAGAATAAGCACCAGTCCCTTAGGTGTCTGCACAGATATTTCTGCTGATGTCCCCAGGATGCCATCCAGGCTATCTATGTTGCGGGTACTTTAGCAGCAGTAAGTTCTCTGAGTCATGCTGAGTGACCCTGGGACCCTCTCAATTGTTATTTCATCCAGACCTAAATTAGCTCCAAAGCTTGTGAGGGCTAGGAGATTCTCTTGAAGGTAGGGCACCAGTTTCTTTCAATCAGAACACATGCTTTAACTGTTGGAGTACCCCTGACTTACCTTCATCCCCATGCTGGGGCACAGGACAGCTGGAGCCAACTTCAGCTCAGTGTCTTTCCTATGAGTTCTCATCCATATTTCCCCCCATGCTTTTCAGGTGTCCTGCCTTTTCCTTTGTGTGTTTCAGTTCTTCCTCTCTTCCTTTCTCTAGAAAAGGTATTTTTTTCCTCCTTCAAAATCTTCTTCACCAGCTCACACAGAGGCAGCTTCTAGTCTGTCATCTTACCCAGAATCCTACAGTGTACCTTTCACTGAACTAATCACATAATCAAAGGAGATACCAAGATGTGACTTTGTCAATTTCAGCCTGGTTGGGCCAGGAGTGGGGAGTTTGTTCTTTGCAATGACTAATGGTCTATGGAGATGAGACAGTGAAATTTTGTCTGAGTGCAACTGTCATAATATATTGGTCATATGAGGAGATCTGGACAGGGGAGTGTCCCAAGTGGCTCCTATGATAAAAATTATACTTCACATCTTAATGGGCCATAATCAAAACAAAGATTATCATAGCTATAGAATGATTAAGGCTAAGGTCTACTAATTGAAGTTAGCCCTTGGACCTTCTGACATGTTTGACATGACATGACAAACTGAACTGAGGAGCAAGTCCAAACCTCATCTGGAAACATCTGTTTCCTCTTCCTAGGCACCTGTGACCTACGATGCCCTGATGGACATGGAGTACCTGGACATGATCGTAAATGAAACTCTCAGAATGTACCCGATTGCTAACAGGCTAGAAAGGGTCTCCAAGAAGTCTGTGGAAATCAATGGAGTGTTCATTCCTAAAGGGACTGTAGTTATGGTACCAATCTATCCTCTTCATCGGGACCCCGAGTACTGGACAGAGCCTGAGGTTTTCCGCCCTGAAAGGTACAGACACTCTGTAAGAAGAGAGAGACTCTGGGCTTTTGAAATCTCTTTTTTTATGCCACATATTTTTTTCAGATTTTTTTATTTGAATTAGAAACAGGATTGTTTTACATGACAATCCCAGTAGGGAGTATTCCTCTATATGGAATGGGCTCCCAAAGTCTACACCTATGCTAGGGATAAGTACTGAACTACTACAGGAGGTCCCATAGATTTCCCAGGTTTCCTCACTGAAACCCATGTTCCTGGGGTCTGGATCAGTCCCATGCTGGTATTCCAGCTACCAGTTTGGGAAGCAAGAGTTCCCCAATGTTCAGGTCAGCTGCTTCTGTGGGTTTCACCAGCCTGGTCTGGACCCCTGTGCTCATCACTCATCCTTCTCTGCATCTGGATTCCAGTTCAGTTCAGTAAGTAGTTGTGGGTGTCTGCTTTTACTTCCACCAGGTGCTGGATGAGGGCTATCGGGTTACATATAAGTCAGTCATCAATCTAATTATCAGGGGAGGGCATTTAAGGTAGCCTCTCCTCTGTTGCTTAGATTTTTAGCTGGTGTCATCTTTGTAGATCCCCAGACATTTCCCTAGTGCCTGATTTCTCTGTAAACCTAAAATGTCTCCCTCTATTATGGTCTCTCCATTCTTGTTATCTTCTATTCTTCCCCTGACTCAACCTTTCTGCTCCCTCATGTCCTCTGCATCCCTCTTCTCCCCTTCTCATTTCCTAGCTCCCTCCCCTCTTCCAGTGCACCCAATTTACTCAGGGGATTTTGACCCTTTCCCCTTCTCCAGGGGACCATGTATGTCTCTCTTAGGGTCCTCCTTGTTTACTAGCTTCTCTGGCAGTGTGAATTGTAGGCTGCTAATCCTTTACTCTATGCCTAAAATCTGCATATGAGTGAGTACACAGCATGTTTGTCTTTTTGTGATTGGATTACCTTGCTCAGCATGGTTTCTTCTAGTTCCATCCATTTTCCTGCAAATTTCAAGATTCCATGGGAGATCTTTCAATTTTCTGGTATCTTCTTTAATTTCTTTCTTTAGAGACTCAAAATTCTTACAGTACAGGTTTTTCACTTTTTTGGTTAGTGTTACCCCAAGGTATTTTATGTTGTTTGTGCCAATTGTAAAGGGTGATGTTTCTCTGATTTCTTTCTCCACCAATGTGTCATCGGTTTATAGTAGGGCTACAGATTTTTTTGAGTTAATCTTATATCCTACCACTTTGCTGAAGGTGTTTATCAGTTCTAGGAGTTCCCTGGTAGAGTTTTTCAGGTCACTTATGTAGATTTATGTATCATGTGCAAATAGTGAGAGTTTGACTTCTTCCTTTCTGATTTGTATTTCCTTGATCTCCTTTTGTTGTCTTATTGTTCTAGCTAGAACTTCAAAGTCTTGTCCATGATTTTTAGAGGAAATGCATTGAGTTTCTCTTCATTTACTTTGATGTTGACTGTCAGCTTGCTGTATATTGCTTTTATTAAGTTAAGGTATGTTCCTGTTATCCATGATTTCTCCAAGACCTTTATCATGAAGGGATGTTGGATTTTGTCAAAGGCTTTTTCAGCATCTAGTGAGATAATCATGGTTTTTTTCCCACAGTCTCTTTATATGGTGGGTTACATTGATGTATTTTCATTTGTTGAACCATCCTTGCATCCCTGGGATGAAGCTTACTTGATCATGGTGGATAATTTCTCTGGTGTGTTCTTGGATTCTATTTGCCAGTATTTTATTGAGAATTTTTTCATCAATGTTCATGAGGGATATTGGTTGGTCTGTAGTTCTCTTTCTTAATGGTGTTGTTGTGTGGCTTAGGTATCAAGGTTATTGTAGCCTCGGAAAAAGAGTTTGGCAATGTCCCTTCTGCTTCTACTGTGTGGAACAATTTGAAGAGTATTGGTATTAGCTCTTCTTTGAATTTCTGGTAGAATTCTGCACTGAAGCCATCTGGCCCCTTTTCATTTCTGATTTTGTTAATTTGCATGTTCTCTCGATGCCTTTTGGTTAGTTTGGATAAAGGTTTGTTTATCTTGTTGATTTTCTCCAAGAACCAACTCTTTGTCAAATTGATTCTTTGAATTGTTTTCTTTGTTTCAACTTTATTGATTTCTGCCCTCAGTTTTATTATTTCCTGGCGTCTACTCCTCCAGGGTGAATTTGCTTCCATTTGTTCTAGAGCTTTCAGCTGTGATGGCAACTCTCTGGTGTGACTATTCTCTAGTTTCTTCATGTGAGCACTTAGAGCTATGAATTTTCCTCTTAGTACTGCTTTCAAAGTGTCCCATAAGTTTGGGTATGCCATGTCTTCATTTTCATTGAATTCTAGGAAGTCTTTAATTTCTTTCTTTATTTCTTCCTTGACCCAGGAATGGTGCAATTGCGTGTTGTTAAATTTTCATGAGTTGGTAGATTTTTTGCAGTTTGTGTTGTTTCTGATTTCTAACTTTAAAGCATGGTGGTCTGATAAGACATAGGGGATTATTCCAATTTTTTTGTACCTGTTGAGGTTTGCTATGTTACCAAGTATGTGGTTGACTTTTGAGAAGGTTCCATGTGATGCTGAAAAGAAGGTATATTCTTTTGTGTTTGGATGGAAAGTTCTATAGATATCTGTTAATCCCAATTGGGTCATAACTTCTGTTAGTTCCTTTGTCTCTTCGTTAAGTGTCTGTCTGGTGGTCCTGTCCAATGGTGAGAGTGGGGTGTTGAAGTCTCCCACTATAACTGTGTGAGGTCTTATTTGTGATTTGAGTTTTAATAATGTTTCTTTTACGAATGTTGGTGCCTTTGTATTTGAGGCATAGATGTTTAGAATTGAGACTTCTTCCTGATGGATTTTTTCCTGTGATGAATATGAAATGCCCTTCTTCATCTCTTTTGATTGATTTTAGTTTGAAGTCTAACTTGATAGATACCAGGATAGCTACCCCAGCTCGTTTCTTGGGTCCATTTGATTGGACTATCTTATCCCAATCCTTTACTCTGAGGTAATGTCTGATTTTGAATTTGAGGTGTGTTTCTTGTATGCAGCAGAAGGATTGGATTATGTCTTCATATCCAATCTGTTAGCCTGTGTCTTTTTATAGGCGAGTTAAGACCATTAATATTGATGGAAATTAAGATCCATTGAGTGTTTATTCTTGTTTGTTTTTGATTTGTTGTTGGTAGTGGTATTATATGTGGATTTACCCCGCTTTATCTTTTGGGTTTTCGTAAAGTGACATTATCTATTGCCTATGTTTATGTGAGTGTAGTTAATTTCCTTAGGTTGGAGTTTTCCTTCCAGTACTTTCTATAGGGCTGGATTAGTGGTTACATATTGTTTAAAACTGGTTTTGTTGTGGAATATCTTGTTTTCTCCATTTATAGTGATTGAAAACTTTGCTGGGTATAGTAGTCTGGGCTGGCATCTGTGTTCTCTCAGAGATGGTAGAATATCTATTCAGGTCCGTCTGGCTTTCAGAGTTTCCATGGAGAAGTCCGGTATAATTCTGATAGGTTTGCCTTTATATGTTACTTGGCCTTTTTCCTTTGCTGCTCTTAATATTCTTTCTTTATTCTGTATGTTTGGTGTTTTAATTATTATGTGATGAGGGGACTTTCTTTTGTGGTCCACTCTATTTGGTGTTCTGTAGGCTTTTTGTACTCTCATTGGCATGTCTTTCTTTAGGTTGGGAAAGTTTTCTTCTATGATTTTGTTGAATAGGTTTTCTGCACCTTTGATTGGGTTTCTTTAACCTTCTTCTATACCTATTATCCTTAGGTTTGGTCTTTTCATGGTGGCCCATATTTCCTGGATATTTTGTGTTAAGGATTAGTTGGACTTCAGATTCTCTTTGCTTGATGAATTTATTTCCTCTAGTTTATCTTCATCATCTGAGATTCTGTCTTCCATCTCTTGTATTCTGTTGGTTATGCTTGCATCTGTGGTTCCTGATTGTTTACTAAGCTTTTCCACTTCCAGCATACCCTCAGTTTGTGTTTTCTTTATTGTCTCTATTTTAGTTTTCAGGTCTTGAACCGTTTCTTTCAGCTGTTTAATTGTATTTTCTTGGCTTTCCTTGATTTCTTGCATCTTTTGGTTTGTCTTTTCTTCCATTTCTCTGAAGGATTTTTTGATTTCCTCTTTTAGGTTCTCTATCATCTGCATGAAGTTGTTTTTATGGTTGCTCTCTTATGCTTCTGTTTTGGGATGTTCTTGTCTTGCTGGTATAGAGTCCTTAGACTCTGGTGGTGTCATATTGGCTTTCCTGTTGTTGGATGTGTTCTTATATTGTTGTCTTCCCATCTTCTTTCAGTGGGTACAGGTGGCGTCACTTCCTTTGGTGTGTATGGGTCTAGTGTTCTCTTCAGGTGGGTGCAATTGGCTCTGATACTCTGATGGGTCTCAAGGTGGGTACAGGCAGGTCTGAGGCACTTGCTCTCCAGGTGGGCAAAAGCCGGACTGGTACATTGATGTCAGCAGACTCTGGGTTGCTTGATCATCAGGGGTCGAGTCGTCCTGCCTGCAGACCCCTTGGCAGGAGTTCCCAGAGTGGGAAGGCAGAAGTTGGGCCCAAGTTAGGGGCCAAAGCAGCTCACCTCTGCACTCTCTGCACTCTGCACTCTGCACTCTGCACTGCCTGGGGGTGGAGTAGCCCAGTGATCTCAGCAGAGTCAGGGTCCCTGGGTCCTCAGGGACCGATTCAGTTTGCCTCGGCTTTTGAAATCTCAATTCTACCCCAGTGACACTATTTCTCCAACAAAACCACACATAATAATCCTTCTAATCCTTTCAAATAGTACCATTCCCTGGTTACTAAGTATTCAAATATAGAAGCCTATGGGGTCCATTCTTATTCAACCCACCATATTCCATTCCCTGGTCCCCACAGGCTTATAGCCATATCATAATACAAAAATGCATTCAGTTCAACTTCAAAGTCCCCACTATCTATTACAGTCTCAACATTGTTTAAAAGTACAAAGTGCAAAGTCATTTCTGAGAGTTAAGGCAATCTCTTAACTGTGGCCCTCTGTAAAATTAAAATAAAGAAAACAAATCACGTAACTACCAACATTCAATGGCACAAAATATATATTACCATTCCAAAAAAGAGGAGAGGGACCATAGTGAGTAAATACTGAACCAAAGGAAGACTAAAACCTAGCAGGACAAACTCCAAATCCTGCATCTCCAAGTCTGATGTCAAAGAGCTTTTCAGATCTCCAACTCCTTTCAGATCTATTGACTGAAACACACTTCTCTCTTCTGCTGGTTCCACACCTCATATGAAGCTCTCCTTGGCAGGTATCCCATGGCTCTGACATCTCCAACATCTTGGGGCCTCCAATGAAATCCAGGCTTCCCCTTCACAGTTTAATACAGTGGCCTCTCTGGGCCTCCATGTAGGGATACCCCTGACACATGCCTGTCCTCATCATCTTTCCTTAGTCATGGAGGGAGATTCCATAACCCATCTTCTGTATCCTTGACTCTAAAAACCAGACTGCATGGTTAAAGCTGCCAAGTTCTGTTGCTTGCTGGGACTGGAACTTGTCCCCCTCATTCTATTACATCTGCATTGCCTTTCTATTTTTCATGGTTTTCTTCACTGCCCATGCTTTCCTTTACTTCTTTGTCACAAGCTGAAAGTTTAGCTGGGTAGTAGGGTCTTGTCATGAAGTCACCACCACTCCCTTTATTCTATTTGGCATCAGGCTTTTCTTTAATCAGTTTATCTCCTTGAGCATAGAACTTGGCTGCATTGAACTTCCTCAAATTCATTTTCTCCTCAAACTGTACATTTTCTATTTTTCCTTGTTGGGCCCCCTCCTTGTCATTATGGATCTGCATAAGAGTGACCACTAATCACCACATGACACAGTCGATACCAGGCTGTGTTGGAATCTCTTCTGCCAAAACCATTAATCTAAAAACCCTTCAATTTAGCCTCAGGCAGATTTTTTGGACAAGGGCAGAAAGCAGCCAATTCTTTGACAAATATCACAAGAATGATTTCTAGGCCACTTACTAATATTTTTCCCCTCTGAAAATTCTTGAACCAGCTGTCACAGTTCACATCACCCTCAGCACTATTGTCCATGTTCCTACTAAGATGGCCCACTAAGCCTCACTTAAAGCATTCAACCACTGTTTTAGTCCAAAGTCCAAAACTCTTCCATGCTCCTCTAGCCAACAGGATGGTCAGACCTATCACAGCGATTCCCCAGTTCCTGGTGCTGACTTCTGTCTTAATCACTGTTCTATTGCTGTGAAGAGATGCCTCGAGCCAGACAACTCTTATGAAAGAAAGCATCTAATTGGAGACTTAATTACAGTTTCAGAGGTTTAGTTCATTATCATCATGGTGGGAAACATGGAGGCGTGCAGGCTGGCACCAGAGCAGTAACTGAGAAATACATCTTATCCTGATCCATAGGCAGAGAGACTCTGAGATTGGCATGAGCTTTTAAACCCTCAAAGCCCACCCCCAGTGACATACTTCCTCCAACAAGGCCACACCTCCTAAGTCTTCTAATTCTTTCAAATAGTGCCACTCACTGGTGGCTAAGCATTCAAATATATGAGCCTATAAGGGCCATTCATATTCAAAAAACCACAATCACAGGAAATCACATACATGCAATTTTTACATCTCTATATCCTTTTGGAATTGTGTGTGTGTGTGTGTGTGTGTGTGTGTGTGTGTGTGTGTGTGAGAGATGTGTGCCAGTACACTCAGAAGCCAGAAGATATCATATATCCTAGAACTTGACTTATAAGAGGTTATGAGCTGCCCATTGTGGGTTCTAGGAACTGAACTCAGGACCTTTGCAAGAACAAGTTCTCTTGAACACTGAGCAATCTCCCCAACCCCTAGAATTAGAACTTTTAAAAAATTATAAAGTGATGAATTATTGTTGAAACCATAAAAATGGACCAGTAAAAATAAATCAATGACCATTCAGAGTGTTAAAATCTTAACATTAACCTCATTGGTAAGGTGACACATGCCCTTATGGGTGCATGTAAAGACTTAGAGATGAGGGCTTGTTTTTGCTTTCAATTATGTTGTGGTATTCCTCTTACCTCCCTGAATTTATCACTAGCTTTGGAAGATTTGATTACATTTGTGTCAAGAAGGTGTGTACATACCACAGCATACATGGGGAGGTCAGAGGACAACTTATGGGAGTTGCTTCTGCTCTTCCACCATGTGGGGACTGAGGATTGAACTCAGGTCATCAGGTTTAACAGCAAGCACCTTCATCCACTGAACTATCTTTCTGGCTGCATAATCAGCGTTAGGAAACAGTTCCATTATCCATTTGGTTAACCTCCTCTGGGTTTTCTAGTGTAATTTTAATGGCACAGAGGTCTGAAAGGCAGATCAAGTGCCTTTGTAAGGACAGTGGTAACCACACAAACCCCCAGTTCTGTCTTGGGCTGCCATCTTGTGCCAGCTTCTTCACAGTTTCCATGACTCTAAAGCCCAAGTCACCTGTTTCTAGATGTCTAAGATAGTCCTCCTTAGAGATGGCTTGAGCAGTCTAATTAGAGTGAAGGTCAGGGGTCAGGCATGGTTTTCAGCTTAAAAATAGATGGTGTTGCCTACTGTGTTAAAAAGCAAAATCAATAATGAAATTTAAGGTAGTGACTGGTAAGAGAATGAGTCCGACACCCAAACTCCATTTGCCCATTCACCACACACTTCCTTAGCTGGGACCTTGTCTTGTCAGCAGTGGTGGCCCTAGTGCCGTCATCACATCTTCACACTGGACATATGGAAGAAATCTATCAGAGCTGATTGATTCCTCTGTTTTCTTGACCAGAATATCCATGGGTTTCCTCCACTCTTACGACTTCTGCTTCCTGTAGTTCACAGCCTGTCACTTTATTTTTCTTTGATTCACACAGTCACCAAACAGTTAGTGCAGACTATGTGCCAGGACCAAGTCAGGCTTTGAGAAACCTAAATGTTAAAAAAGTCAGTGGAAGATTTGACCTGTGATTCAGTATAATCTAGTTCATAAGTCTATATGACTCTTTATGTGGGGATCCATGTGTGTATATGTGCTTGTGTGGGTGCACACGTGTGAATGTCCTTGTGGGAGGACACATTTGTGTTTCTCTGTGTGTATGTGTGTCAGGGGTGTATTGTATATGTGTATAGGTGTATGTGCATGTGTGTCTCAGGCCACATGGAAATGCTTCTCCTTTTCCTGCAAATTGTCAAAACAATTTTAAAACACCGATTATTGTTGCTCTTGTCACTTCCTCAGGATCTTTTTCACCTAAATAGTCAAATAATGAAAAATTAAATCTGAACACATTATGCTCTACATGTTCAGATACTTTCTAGCTTAGTGGAGATGGTAGATGTAGAAGTCATTCGGGATACCACAGTAGGCCCCAGAAAGATATTTAGCTTTGGTTATTCTATGGAGGGAGGGGAGAAAGCAAAAGCAATTCTGAAAAAAAAAAGAGAGAGGAAGAAGAAGCCCAAGAGGAAAATACAGGTGCGGAGAGCTACAAAGAAGGAAATGAAATGAGATGAGAGGGAGGTAATGGGGGAGGGGAACTGAGCATTTTCTTTTTTTTTTTTTTTAGACATGTAGCAGTTTAATGATGAAAATAATAATTAATATATATTTTTTTACCATACAACAGAAATGCGATGTCAATGAAAAGTATACAAACATCTTTAAATGAAAACCTGCAAAAGACTATCATTACAAACCATTTCAGTGGAAGACACCAGCCTTGTCAAGTGCTGTCCTAAGTTTGCAATTTCCACACACGACCCTTTGAATGTGTGTTACAATAGAACATACTTTGAGAGAAAGCTTGAACACTTGGGGGACACAAATACAATTAGCATATAATGTAGCCAGCACCAATCTAAATACACTTTTTCACTCAACATTAAATTATCAGGTATTATCTCTGTATGTGTGAGGCAGATGCGTTTGTTTCCATAGGTACTGTTCCAACGCATTAATGAATCCCAACTCGCTCATCCATTTTCTTAATGAAAGGGTATTTGTAATAACCAAAAAACACAAAGACCTCAGCATTCCATTTGCATTGTATTGATAGTCAATGATCTTCCCCAGAGATGGGAGTGGATGTCTGTATCCTCTGAAATTCTAGATGGAAAAATCCTTGCCACTTGTATTTACTGACAATATTTTGTCCCTGTCAGTGGCTTCCCGTCTTCTGCTGTGTTTACAGCAACTTTCACAGTATTCTAAGAATTTATTGTGAAGTTTATAAATGTCTTTATTTTCAGGAAATGCTTTATTATTTATTTGGAAATGAACATTTTCATAGTGCCAGAGTTTTTTTGTCTCCTCCCAAGTATGAGGCAGGAGCCTACTTTGCCTTCAGTTTGGCCAATCCAAATATGTCTTTCAGAGCAGAACACATCACCACTATGAATGGAACATTTTGTGCTTAAGGATGTGTTTTCCCTCAAAAAGCATTTGTTTTCACTTATCTCAGCAACACAGAAAATGCCTATGCTTTGGTGTGAGTGGGAAGGACCCTTTGCTCACATTTCTTTAGTCAGACACCTGTAGCAAGACTTCAATTCCAAGTCTACAAATGTACACTGCACCCTCCTGGTTGAGAGGTGTGAGAACTCCAAACTTGGTGCTCTTGGGGTCTTTATGTCCCATAGCCTTATTTTATCCCTGCCGTGTCTCCAGGTTCAGCAAGGAGAACAAGGGCAGCATTGATCCTTATGTATACCTGCCCTTTGGCAGTGGGCCCAGGAACTGCATTGGCAGGAGATTTGCCCTCATCAGCATGAAACTGGCTGTCATCAGCATCCTCCAGAACTTCACCCTCCAGACTTGTGAGCAAACAGAGGTGAGGCAGAAACTCTCTCAATAAATAATATTTCAACTTTTATTTCTAAAAAGTTTAGAGCTTTGTATACAGAAAATAAAATGCTTGTCTTGGTTACTTTTCTGCTGCTGTCATAAAACACCATAACCAAGACAACTTATTTTTAAACAGTGTTTGGTTGGGTTTATGGTTCTCGAGGATTAAGGTCCGTGATAGCACAGTGAAGGCAAGGCAGCAAGTACAGCTGAGAGTTCACAGAGGAGGAGAGGCGGGAAACAAATGGCATTAGTCTTTTGAAACCTCAAAGCCCACCCCAAGGACACACCTCCTCCAACAAGACAACATACCTCCTAATCCTTCCCATGCAGGTTTATCAACTGGGGACCAAGTATTCAAACAAAAACCTGTGGGGCCATTCACATCCAAACCACCACACCGCTCTCTGACATTTTAATGATATATGGAACAAGGAATGCATTTATAGTCTGATATGGGCTTTAAAATCCTTCCATCCTGAGCTGTGTCTAAATAAAACACAAATAAGGAATTCATCTGGAGTCAGTGAAGATTAGTGGGACATGAGTATATGAAATCTCCTTGAAATTGAATTCAAGTTAACTGGAGATGAGAAGAAACTGTGCACACAGCATGTAATAATGGCTTTATCATGGTTTGTGACTGGTGGGTGTCAGTTGGACTTAAGAGAAGTTTCCAGGTGTCAGGGGCTCCCAATCACTGGCTGTGCTTCAGAACTTCTAAAGAGCCTTAAACACTCATAATGTCTGGTCATATCAGGTACATTGAAACAATTCATCTAGAGTGTGGCTTTTAAAGATACAGGTTAGTCTCTTGCACAACTAAATTGAGAGTCACTGATATGACACAGGATATGTGTATCACTAAGTGTGCCTTTGAGGCTTTCAAAGCCTACACTAGGCCCAGTGTTGATGCTATTTCCGCTTGTGGGTCAGGATGTAGTTCTCAACTCCTTCTCCAGCACCACACCCACCATGCCTACTGCCATGCTCCTCACAGTGATGACAATGGACCAAGCCTCTGAAACTGTAAGCCAGCCCACAATGAAATGCTTTCTTTTGGAATAGTTGTCATGGTCATGGTACTGCTACACAGCAGTGGAACAGTGACTAAGACAAGGGAAATGGTATGTAAATCACTGCCTAACAGTTGAGTGTGAAATATGCAGTACTTTCCTGTTCCATGTCTTTCTTCATGGGAGGCCAGGAGAATGTCAGTGGCCTACAACTGCATTGTGGCTGTCCTGTCAACATGTGCAGGGGTTTATTTAGATGGACAGACAAACAGAACATTTAGTCTTGGAAGCAAGCAGGACTCTGAGACACCAGTCAAGCTCCAGTTACCCACAGTTTGACACCTTCCCCTCTGACAATTTTCTTTCCCTTTCCTATATTGAGATTCAAATTGTTATGTTGGAGGCTTCCTCATCCCCTCGAGACTGAAGAGAATGAGGCAAAATTATTATGAAAACATTGAATTACTTTCAAACTACCCTGGGAAGCTAAGATAACAAGGAGATAAAAAGGGTCAATGCTTCCTGGAGACCTTGCTCACCATCGAACTGAATGGGCAAAGCTGGTGTCCAGGCACTTTGGTAACTAAGTCACTCCATACAGGTGAAATGTGTGATATGTGCTCAGGATATCCTTATGCTTCAACAAGTGTAGAATTAACTTTATATTGCTTTCAAAATTCATTTTCCATATACTTAAGATATTATCTAAAATTTTAACTTGGAGGGCTGGAGAGATGGCTCAGCCATTAAAGGCTAGGCTAACAACCAAAAATTTAACTTGACCTTTGACTTAAAATTTAAATCACTAAATAACACAAACCGACATATTTTTTCTAGCTCTGTACACACAATAGGTGCTCAACTAATACTATCCTTATAAAAAGAGAGAAGTGATTTTACCATCCAGTCTCAATGAATATGTAGATATAAAGAACTCAGGATATAGGATGCTGATATAGAGTGTGTTTGTGTGCATAAAGCATTATGGTCCTCACTGTATCTGTTCTCTTTGCTTCACTCATTGCTGATGCTTCACTCATTGCTTCTCCTTGTGATGGTTCAACTACTGCAGATCCACCCGAAGTTCAGCAGGCAACCAATTCTCCAACCAGAAAACCCCATCATCCTGAAGGTTGTATCAAGAGATAAACCCATAACTGGAGCATGAATTTCCCTCAGGAACCATACTATATTCTTGAAGGGCACTGGGTCACAGAACACCAGCAAATTTAATTTACCATAGAATGAAGCCCAGATGAAATGGGCTTACTGAACTTTCCTTGATGATTTAGTATTCAGTAATTCATTGAACATATTTAGTGTCTATAGGGAGTGTCATCTATTGTGTGATCCAAATGAAATAATTAAGTCAATGATAGATATGGAGATTCATCTTCTGATTCTCTTGGAACCCTCTACTCTGATTATAATTAGTTCCATCGGTTCTGAACTCCAACTGTAGTAACTGTTTCTCTATAGTTCTAGAAATAATTTTTATGAAAATAGGAACTACTGTGTTGACTAAATTGTTTCTTTGTAAACTTTTATGATATTGAGAATATAAATAAATATCCCCTTCAAAAATATGTGATGTCATTATACACATTAATGGGAAAAACACTGAATCAATAAAACAAGATGCTAATCCTTTCCAATCACCACGGTCACCCAATTGCGTGAGCCAATTTGGGATTGGCGCTTAACCCTCAAAGTTTGTTGATACTGATCCATTTTGAATTGACACATTGTTTGAGAAATTTATTCATGGTCTAATTCTTTCATCTTTGAAGAATTTTTAATATAACTCATGGGAAATGATAATATTCTTCTTATTAAGCTTGACCTATTATCATCTTCCTCTCCTCTCATGTATCTGAAAGCCCATGTTTTCTCAGACTTCTTTGGAATCTATGGTTGTTGGTATTGTCAACTCCAGAGAATCTAGAATCACCTGGAATGAAGATGGTCCTGCAGGCATGTCTGCAGGTGGTGGGTGTTTGAGTTGGTTAAGATGTGAAGACCCACCCACTGTGAGTAGTGCCATGTGGTATCCAGGATTATATAAGTAGAGAAAGGGAGTTGAGCATCAGCAGGGACTCATCACTCTCTGCTCCCTGATTGCGGATGCAACATGATCAATCTTCTAGCTCCTGCCGCCTGACTTCCCCTCCACAATGGACTCTTCACTAGAACTGGGAGCCAGAGTAAACTCCTTCTCCCTTAACTAGATTTTTTCAGAGTGTTTATTATAGTAACAGGAAAAGAAACCAAAACAGAATCCATCTTGAGCTCCCCCGTCCTACAACAATGAACATAAAATAGAAATGGCCCGCTGGTTAATGGATTGGGCAACAAAGGCTAAAGTGTTCTCGTCTTACCCAGTATCAGAAACTTCACTGGTTTCTTCCACTTTAGTTTACAACCTTACATTCTCTTCCTGAGTCATTTAGTTTAAAACCATTGTGTGGGGCTCATGAAGGAGGTCACTGCTGATTCCAAATGAGACCCAGCACTTTGGAGAAGACGTCTGCATGGAAGGCAGACTGGTGGGTGTGAGAGTCTGAGCTAGCAATAAAGCTCCACTGAAGTGTATCCTTAGCTTGTGCTTCGGTGAGTAGAGAGCCCACTGGTGACTTCAGCACCAGAGTAATCTGATGTTTCTTCTGGTCACTGCAAGCACCTGTTCACACATGCACAGACCCACACAGAAACACTCACACAATTGGAATAAACTAAGTTTTGAAGGGATGAGCATTTGTTTACTGGGGTATAGGGGATGCTGTAGCCACGCCTGCTTACGGACTGGGTACAGGTGTGTCTGACCATGCCTGTGAGGCATGGTCAGGGTGATGTAGGGAAAGGTTAAGAGTGAGGAACGCTTACGTGGCGGCCCTGCTTTTGCTTTCATCTTCAGCTTGCTGTAGGTACTGCTGCCCCGTTGGCTGGCTAGGTTGCTCTGTAAGTAAGGCTTTCCCTATTAAATTCCCTTGTATTTTTACCTGACTCCGTACCGGTAATTTACCACATTACTGGGAGGATTTTTAAATTGAAAATATATTTTTCCTCACATAACATATCCTGCTTATGTTTTCTTTTTCCTCTACTCCTTCCAGTCCCCACCCCCCACATAACACCTCCTATCTAGATCCACTCATTTTCTGACTCTCGTTAGAAAAAAAACAGGCTGCTAAGAGTTAGTAATAAAACATAACACAATATTAAAACAAACAGAAAAAAAGAGCCTGAGAAAAGTCATAGGAGTCAGACTCATTCCCACACTCAGGGATCCCACAAAAAGACTAAACTGGAAGCCATAATACATATAGAGAGTTCTGGTGCAGAATAGTATAGGTTTTGTGCATACTGCCTCAGTAACTGTGAGTTCACACATGGATCTATCTTGTTGATTTAGAGGCATCCTCCATATGCTCTGACTCTTACGTTCTATCTGCCTCCTCTTTCACAGGGTTCTCTGAACCCTAAAAGGAGGGATTTGACAGAGAAGTCTCATTTAGGGCTGAGTGTCCCAAGGTCTCTCACTCTGCATCATTTCTGGCTGAGTCTCTGTATTTGTTCCCATCTGCTGCAGGTGGAAGCTTTTCTGATGATGGCTGAGTGAGGCAATGATCTGCTTGCCTGGACAGAGGCAAAGGAACTTTCTAAAAAAGAATTGATCATAAAAGTAGATGAAGTGTCTAGAAAAATGAGAGTGACTAAGAAGAGGAAGAAGAAAGGAGGTTATAGCAGTCATGTGACCAAAGTACATTATTTGCTTGCATAAAATATCACTAGAAAACCCAGTGCTATTTATAATGAATAAATGCCAGTAAAAGATGTCAGGTATGGTGACCCATGCCCTCCTGGGAAGCACAGGTAAATTTGAGGCCATCCTGGTTTACAAAGTGAGTTCCAGGAAAGCCAGGGCTTATTATACAGAGAAACCCTGTCTCAGAAAAACAAAAACAACAACAAATGAATTTACTAAATTACTAACAGTATCAAGAATAATGGAAGCCCAGTCCCTCAGTCTTAGTAAAAGGAGTCAGATGCAGAACAGAAGAAAGCTGAGAAGATTCCTAAGAAGTCTTGCCAAGAAATGTGCTCCAAGTCACTGAGAGACCCCATCTCAAATGGTAAAGTGGAGGTCCAACAAGATTAGGTCAGTGGGTAAAGGTGCCAGCGCCAAAACTTACAACCCACATGGTAGAAGAAGAGAGCCAAATCCTGATAGCTGTCTTATGACTTCTACACAGGCACGTGATGCAGGCACATGTGTGCACACACACTAAAATGTAACTGAAAATATTAACAATGAAGTGGAGAGCAATTGAGGAAGACACCCTCACGTCACCTTCTGGCCTACACACATATGCACACACATGTGAGCAATAGATACATACACAAGCATACAAAACACACACAAAAAAATGACTGAATGAATGGATAGAAATAGGAAAAGTCACCAAGGGTTTTAGCTCTCACCTGTACAAATAGAGCAGATCTAATCCAAACCCACACACCAGTGACTATAAATGTCAAAAGGCTTTAGTTTCTTAGTGTCTGCTGTATATTACAAGACAACTGCGCTCACATAGTCACAAAAGCTCTGGTTATCTGCACAAGACCCACACGGAACAGTCAACATTCCAGCATGATGTGGAGAGGCTCATAAGTCCTCACTATGTAGCTGAAGAGCTCATGACAGTTGATGGCTGCTAGAGGAAGGAGAGTCAGTTTTTTCTCAGGGGTGTAGTCCCAGATAGTTGCCTCTGCTCCAGTGGATGATCCCACAGTATGCACAAATGGGCAGTACTAATTTATAAAAGAAAAGAATACATGAAGTTGGGAGGAGGCTTTGGAGTGCATCCAAAGGGGTTTGAAAAAGGAGGTAAGACACATATATGAAAAAAATATATTGTATACATGTATGAAATTCTCAAAGAATAAAATTTTTAATTATAAAGTATTTTATTTCTGGTTCTTCTCCATTCAGATTTCTATCTTCTCTCTTAATATATATGAAAACATCAGGTCTCTGGGCAGAGTTCACAGTACTGTGAAATGTTAAACACAATACTGGATGAGAAAAGTAATTAACAGTCTCATCAAGCTATGAACCATGTAAGCTACAATAATGACCTACCTGAAAGTTATGACAACTGTTGCAATAGCGCACATGTCATGGGATTTGGATTAAAATCCAAATCCACTTAAAATTGGATTTCAGGCCCATTACATGAGATGGAACCCATACTGGCAGCGAGGCCGGGAACTGGAGATGAGACAATGCATGAGTCCCAGGAGAATAAGTACTACTACTAGTCTTTGAATGATTATAGCAACAATGAGGTTCCTAATGACATACTGCTATATCCACTGAATAGTGCATCACTCAACCCTCATCAGAGAAGTTTCTTCTTATGGTAGGTGGTAATCAGCAAGAAAAACTACAACTTGTCAACATGAAGAAAACCTCAGATGAGGTTGTCTATATCATACCTGTCCCCTCAAGGCTCAGGGATCTATGTGGAAAAGAAGGAAGAGAAGGGAAGACCCAGAGGTAATGGATGACTTCAAGGAAACAGCATTTTCTAGACACAGCATGGCAGATGCATATATGAACTCACAGAGACTGTGACAGAATTCACAACATCTGCACAAGCTCAAACCATGCAAATTCTTAGTGTAGAGGAGTCCAGAGTCCTACCCCTAGCCAAGGAGGTATTGTCAAGTGATAGCTCCTGAGATAAGGAAAGCCAGGTTTCATCAATGGGGTGACACTGGGTTTGTCAGCTACAAACCAGAGCAAGCCTCACCCTCAGGAATAGACATCCAACATGAACGGGACCCCATGGTTTAGTTTGGTTTGAAAGAGTTGGAGAGAATATATAATTGTGTGGGAAGGAACATGGAGGAGGATCTGGAGGAAATAAATTAGTATAATCAAAATATGAAGCTCTCAACTGTTGTAGAAAAGAAGTAAGTATTTATAGGGAAGATGCCCAGATCTCCTTGGGAAGGGGAAATAGAAGAGAATTTATGAGTGAACTGGGGGCAGATGGGGTGAGAACATGAACGATCAGGATGAGGGAGGAGGGAGTGGGGAATTACTGAAAAAGACTATTGGAAATGGGGAGGGGATATTTCAGGGTCATGTAAAATCCTGACTCAAGGGAGTCTCCCAGGAATCTACAAGGATGACCCCAGCTAAGACTCCTAGCAATAGCAGATACATAGCCTGAATGGTGATTTCCTGTGACCACTTTGGTGCCTTGCCCAATTGTTATCAAAGACTTTATCCAGCAACTGATAGAAACAGATGCAGACCTACAGCCAAGCATTAGGTGGAGTTCAGGCAATACTGCAGAACATGGGGAGAAAGGATTTTAGGAGTCAGAAGGGCCAAGGACACCAAAAGAAACCCCACAGAATCAGCTAACATGGGCTCACAGAGGCTGAACTGACAACCAGGGAGCATGCATGAGACTGACCTAGGCACTCTGCTTGTATGTTACAATTGTGTAGCTTGGTACCCTTGAAGGGCTCTTAACAGTGGGAACAGGGTTTGTCTCTGATTCTTTTGCTTATTTTTGGAGCCCTACTCCTCATTCAGCCCAGCCTTAATACATAAGAAGGAGCTTAGTCCTACTGGAACTTGATAGCCAGGTTTTGTTGACAAATGAGAGACCTGACCTTTTGTAAAGAGAAAGAGAGGTGAAGTGGATTAGGGAGTGGGGACAGAGCAGGGCAGTCTGGGAAGGAACTGGGAGGAAAGAAGGGAGAGGAAAATGTGGCCAGGTTGTAAAATAAACATCAATTTTTTTTACAAACAGATTTACATGTTCAGTGTAATGTTTATTGTAGACTATTGCAACTAAAGCATCCTGATACCAATTTTACAATAAGAGTTGTCATAATCACAATGGTTGATATTTGCATTAAAAATTATTATTGATCAATTGCAGAGGCATGGTTACTCTCAAAAGAGCTCAAAAGAAATTGATGGAACCAACCAGATGTGGATGGAGGTGGTCCAGTGATGATCAGAGAAGATGAATTTCTCATTCTGTCACCGAATTGGTCATTTCCTTTACATTAGATGATACTCTGTATTGACACTGAGAAAGCTCAATGGATGTACTCAATCTATAACCATGAACTAAGGCCCCTCTATTAAACTCCATATTTGCCTGGGTTTTATTCATGAAGTTAATTAAAAATTGCAATGTTCTTAGACATCATCTTCTTGAGGAACACAGCTGAACTCCTTGCGGGAAAGTCATGCTCCAGTAATGATTGCAGACCGTGGCACAACCTTTAGAACAATGGGTTTTTCTGGTTGAAGCATTGCTTTTCGGCTTAATTTCATTGGCATCTGCAATAGTTTAAGAAAAGTATCTTAAAGCATTGAGTGAGCCAACAGCAACCCCAGAAAAAAAGTTTTAACAATTCAGGATGATAATGACTTGTAGAAACATAAAAATTGCATTTAGCGTCATATATTTCGACTTCCTTATTCTCCAAGCTGTGTCACCTAGATCATGGAATAATACATCCAAACCATGTTTAGGGTAAAATATTGATTGTGAATCTGCTGCATACAGGGCCTGAGATGAAGTCATGTTGGTTTATATTATTTGTGTTGTGTTGATTTAGAATAAAACAGGTAAGTTTAATATGTTTCGATCTGATTATTAGTTATTATGCCATATTTAAGACCTGAAAAGCTATTTTTGGTTTGTTGAAACTTTTAAGTTAACACGGAGAAGATACATTTCAATCTGTAGACCGAACTCAGCTCCTAGATCATATGTCACCACTTCAGTTAAGCCACTACATATGTTGCCAATAAAGTTGTACAAGTCTTTAGGAGGACAGATATTTGCCTGTTTTTCTAGCATATTCTTGGGTCTCAAGGATGAGTTGAACAAAGAATTCTGAGTCTTATAGTATTCTTAGTGATGCGTTAGCCTTATGCTATTCAGTGGTGGAGGGGGGAAAGCCTCCAACAAACTAATATTGTTCCAGGAAAAGGAACAGGAGCAAAGTTGTCATAGAGATAGAGAAGTGTCAATTCTAAGATGATTGGAGCTTTGCAGAGCACATACCCACCGACAGGTGGCTCTCAAAACTTGAGCCTTCATTTGTCTGTCTTAATCCTGTATATGCTTAGTGAGAAGGTAGTAAACTAAGTGAGGTTCTGTGTAAATAAAGCTACACAACTGCCTTAAACCACAGATCACAGAATAAACACCACCCCCTCTATCCATCCAGAAGTAAAACTAATTGGTAAAGAGAAGCCAAATCCTAATACACAAGTCCTGTAAATTTTAGCTAGCCCTTCACAAGGAAGTTGTTCAGGAAAATGTAAACTTTCTCCAAACGCCCCATCCTATCTTTTAAATTTTGAGTAGTGTACCTGTGTTTTACATTAAGCTATCCAAAACAGAAGTGTATAAAATATGCAAATGGTATCTGTTCATTGTTTAATTAGCTTAAGATTTCATTAAATAATATTATAATTGTTAACCACACTTTAAAACATTTTATAAAGGCTTTCAATGCACAAACTATCCTCAAAGAACCATTTGTACTTTGTGGAAGAAATAACATTAGGTGAAATAGAAAAGAGTGGGGATATCTTTGAATACAGAGAGAACAAACAGAACCAAACTGAAGACTTTAAGGACAAAGTGTTAGCATAGGTAATGAAAACAGCCTGCAGGAGTCAAAAGTAGAGCATAAAAGGAATGAGAAAAGAAACCCAAGAATATTCATTTGGAGAGTGAACAAGAACTTGCGGTATGAGAACAGAATAAAAAGGAGAAAAAGATACATGATTAATAGAAATATGACAACTATATGTTTTCCGGATTAAGAGCTCCAGAGATATGAAGCATAACCGTCAAGACATGCCATAAGGTTGGAATTCATCATAACACGAAACTTTTAAAAGATTTATTTATTTTCATTTTATGTATAGGAGTGTTTTATCTGCACATATGCATGTATACCGTATTGTGTAGTCTCAACAGAAGCAAGAGCAGCACATCTGAGCTCTGGAAACTGGAGTCACAAATGGTTGTGAACCACCATGCGGGTGCTAGGAACTGAATTCTGGTTCTTTAGTGCTCTTAAACACTGAGCTATCTTTTGAGTCCCAGAAATTGTGTTTTATAATAATGATTCTCTACTTGGCCTCACATGGGAAGTTAGAGCTGAGCTATTAAAGCCAGACTCCAGGTAAATTAGTTTAGGATTTCAGAAGTGATCAGACATCATGAGGTTCTGTTTTTGTTTTTCATATGGATGCCATGTAGCTCATGTTGGCTTCAAATTTACAAAGTGGTCAAGGATTACTTAAACTTCTAACCCTCTTGCTTCCACTTCCTGAGTGCAGGGATTACTGGTATGCATCACTACAACTACTTCATGTAGGTATGGGGATGAGAACTATTGTTTTGTGCATGTTAGGCAAACACTTTTCCTACTGAGACATTTCTCAGACCTCATATATGAGTTGTAAAGATTCTCAGTGATTCTAATGCACAGCAAGTGTTTGACAAGACTGTCAGAGGAGAGTTTCAAACAGAATTTATATAATACTGTCAATATTCCCTGAACTAACTATTCATAGTGGTATAGTTTTATCCTATATTGACACAGAACCAAAGTCCCCTTAGCTCATGCCTGGATACAAATAACTCATTTGGCCATAAAACAAATTATTAAGCCTTGGACAATCATATTTGTTTTTATACACAGAACTTTCAGTTGGAAATAAGGCTCTCATAGAACATATGTACAAAGATAGTTTTGTCCCTCACCTGTGTTTCCTTACAAGGCTGGAAAGAGAAATTCTGGAGGACTTTAGTGAGAGCAAGTTTCATGTTCATAAGAGCAAATCTCATTCCAATGCAATTCCTGGGTCCATTCCCAAAGGGCATGAATACATAAGGATCAATGCTGCCCTTGTTCTCCTTGCTGAACCTAGAGACACACAATAATGATAAGTCAACAAAGGATAGAAACATTAGAGCTATATACATAAACTTGCTTTCAGACATCTAACTAGTAACATGCAGGTAGTTTGGGGAAGGTTCGCTGAAATTTGACTCTGAGAATTGTACACTAAAGACCTTTCTACCCATTTCCCCTATAATATTTTCCATATGGTAGATAAGACAAATGCTGTTTGAAAGAAAATGCATCCCATGAGCCCTTTAGTGTAATAGTGGTGTCATGGGGTAGAGGAAACCAACCACCATCTGATTGAATTAGAGTTCCAATTCAGAGGAAATTAATGTCCAGTATTGTAAATCTGGTCAAAATCCAATGGCTAGAAAGGTCATAGGCTCTAGGGGAGAATGTACTAGCGTTGTTTTTCTAAGTCTGTATCTTAACAAACTGCCTTCTAAATATTTATTGATATACACAAAAGTGTTGCATTTAACTTTGGTCAGAGAAGCTTCTGATTGCAGTTGGAGACAGTTAACACAGAAACCCATAACTGGTCACTGCTGAAAATGAGTGATGGTGGAGTGCTCACTGCTTAACGGGACATCTATATCACCCCCTGAAAGGCTCAGGGAACATCTCAGAAGAGGAGGGAAATGATGTAAGATCCTGGAAATGAAAGGGGTGCTGCTAAACACTATCATCTGGGCATGACACATTCATTGTAGTCATGAACTCCCAGAAACTGCTGTTGCCTACACAAGCCTAGACACGTGTTGATATTTTCTGTCATGGATGGGGGAGGAGTTCATGAGGTACCATCTCCCTAAAGAAGTATTGACAATGAATGGTTGCTGGGGTAGTGGGAAGTTTCTCTTCAATGGTGTAGTTATTGGTGAGATTTTCATTCTCCAGTAAATAACTCTTATACACATGCTTACGCAAGCAACCCTAATTAAACTCCTGAGTCACAAGGAAACCGCAGCCATAAAAGAGGCTGAAGACTTGATGGGCATAAGTAGAATTGGACATGAGTGGGAGGGAGAAGAGTCGGGGTAATGTGAAGTGAAAATGCCCAAAACTCATTATATATGTCTGCATTTGTCAATGAATAAAAAGAAAAAGCAGCAGGATACATCTCTGAACTCTAAAGTCTATTCAGGGTATTGCTGGGTTCCTTATCTGAAAAGCACCTATCAGTTAGACTGAAGGAAAAATGGGTTCTTGCCTCACACTTAAGTTCATCATTTGCTACTTGAGGGAGAAGGAGAAAGAGACTCTATTTAAATTCTCATATTATCTTCTGTCTCTCTTCCCTTATCCTAGTTTTGCCTCACTTTCTCTGTCATTCTCCTCATAGAATACAAATGGATAAAAAAATCACATGTAGATCATCTTCCCATAAGAGATACCATAGCATATAATACCAGCATAGTACAGAGTGGGCTCCCACTCCTGTGATTCTTGTACCTTTCAGGGCGGAATTCCTCAGGCTCTGGCCAGTACTGTGGGTCATAGTGAAGAGCAAAAACTGGTACCATCACTATGGACCCTTTGGGAACAAACACACCATCCATTTGAACATCTCGTTTACAGACTCTCTCGAGTCTATTACCGATTGGATATAATCTGAGGGTTTCATTCATCACCATGTCCAGGTACTCCATCTCCATCACTTTATCATAGGTGGGACGTGTCTGAGAAGAAAGAAAAATGTTTGTGCTGGAACTTCACATTAACTTTCAATAGGTCTCAGTAGTTTCAATTGTTCTCAGTAGTATTGAGTTCTTAGTAGCTACAAAGCTGCTCTCAGCATTACAATGGTCTAAGGCACTTATGAGGCATTTTAAAGGGTTTTTAAATGGTTTTATTTTATATGTGGAGGTGTTTGGCCTTCACATGAGTATGTGCACTTCATTATGGCAGTGTCCACAGAAGTCAAAAGAGGGTCTCACATCCTTGTAGCTGGCATTACAGTCAGCTGAGAGCTGTCATTGGAATGGATCTTCCAAAAGCACAGCCCCTTACAAAGTGTTTACAATAGCAAACTATCACTTGGGGATGGGAAGGTGTCTCAATTAGTGAAGTGTTACTACGCAAGCCTGAGGACCTGAGTTCAGATACACGCCATTAATAAAGCCAGACACAGTGGTACACATCTGTCAGGGCAGGAAGACAGAGAAAGGGCACTGGCCAGATAGCATAGCCAAATTGCTAAGCTCTAGGTTCATGGAGAAAGCCTGTCTAAAAACATGGTGGAGAGTGACTTATAGTAATACCTTGTGTAGGCCGATGACCTACATACACGCATACACACACACACACACACACACACACACACACACACACACACACAGAGGCACTCACCTGCTCTGTCTCTCCCTCTCCCTCTCCCTCTCCCTCTCCCTCTCCCTCTCCCCCCCTCTCTCCCTCTCCCTCTCCCTCTCCCTCTCCCTCTCCCTCTCCCTCTCCCTCTCCCTCTCCCTCTCCCTCTCCCTCTCCCTCTCCCTCTCACATGCTCTCTGTCTCTCTCTCTCTTTCACTCCCCCTCTCTCCCTCTCCCTCTCCCTCTCTCTCTCCCTCTCCCCTCCTCTCTCTCTCTCTCTCTCTCTCTCTCTCTCTCTCTCTCTCTCTCTCTCTCACACACACACACACACACCACACTGCAGGTGATGAGAAGGTGACTGCTTCTCCCTCCTACTCCAAGCACCATCCAGTCACCTTATTGGGCAGAGCGACGTCAATCTCCTCCTGCAGTTTCTTCTGTATATCAGGGTGAGTAGCCAGTAAATACAGGGCAAAGGCAAGTGTGCTGCTGGTGGTCTCGTAGCCAGCAAAAATAAAGATAATTGACTGGGCTATGATCTCCATGTCAGACAGAGCTGAAAGTAAGAAAATATTTCAGGAAATTCAGGTCACAGTGGATCATCACAGAAGAGATGAGAAGAAAATCAAATGAGGCCCCTGTTTTCCTAGAGACAAATATGGAAGCAGTTCAGTGACCATGGGACTGTTATCACTCAGACATCCATGTGACACAGCCAGAGAAGGGGAAGACAGCTTCAGCCAGGATGCCCTATGGTTTATGCCCTGATCGCCATCATCAGTGGGGAACTTCAAGACATGTAATTTACTCTGTTTCTAAGATTCATTTTTATTTTTTATTTATGAGTATTTGTGTTCATCTGATGGGTTGCCATTTCTGTGGGGGGGTGCCCATGGAGTCCAGAAGAAGGTGTGATCCCCTCTAAATGGAGTTTTAGAAGGTTGTGAGCTTTCAGAGGTAGGTGCTTGGAACTGAACTCCAGTCCTCTGCTAGAGCTTAAGATATTTAATTTTTATTTATTTATGTGCATGTATGCACATGTGTACAAATGCCCACGGAGGGAAGAAGATGACATTGGAGTCCATAAAGCTAGAGCTACAGGCATTTTAATCTTTTTGTCACGAGTACAATGACTCTGTATTTGGAAAATTCTTTCTCCCAATTACTGTAAGTTCTTGCTACTAAATTGAAACTTGAGTATAAACCCATAATCAGTGGGTATTTTAAAATGAGTACCATTTTATCTATCAAAAAGGAAATATAAGCCCAGTAAATGGAGAGCTAGCTGGGATGCATGAAGCCCTGGGTTCAATCCCCTGGACTGTATAAACTAGGCATGGTAGCATAGAAGTTTAAAGGTCATCCTCAGGCACACCATTAGTGTAAGATCAGTTGGGCTACATGAGATCCAGTCTCAAAAGGAGGGTGTAGAACCAATTTGAAGTTAGCTGATCACATGAAAGAGTTTCAAATGGACAAACTGGAGAAATTTTGAAATACAAAATACATGATAACTTCAAAAAGAAAATTTGGGGCCCTAGAGGAATATATATATATATATATCATGCAAGAATGGAAAACTTCATTTATATTAGCTACTGATGCACACAAGTAGAAAAAAGTCTGGAATTTGGATGCCATCATTTTGCAAACATGGCAATAATAATGATTTTAAATTAAAACAACTGTAGACAGGAGACTAGAGAGATGGCTCAGTGGGTAAGAGCACTTGCTGCACAAGCATGAGGACCTGAGTTTGAATCCTCAGTCCCCGTGTAAAAAGCCAAGTGTGGTAGTATTCCCCTGTAGCCCCAACTTGGTAGATTTTTGGGACTGGCTGTCTGTCAGCCTAGCTCCAGGTTGAATAGGAGACCATGCCTTGAGGAAATGAGGCAGAGAGTGATTGAGGAAGACACTTTGTGCCTTCCTCTAGCTCCACACACACATTGGGGTATATACACGTGCACACACTCATGCACACACATGCGTATACCACCTGAATAAGATAAAAATCTATATGCAATTTTTAAGTGTCTATAACAATTAAGAGAACAAGTGTGTTTGTACAAAGAGACATTTACCAGATGCCACTTATTGAACACACAAAGAAAAGCAAATGTTTACCATAGAAAACACATGTCGACCAGGGGTTCCCACAAAGCATCAACACTGAGTTGGTGCCTGTCTCCTGCCTAGATGTTTAGACTCAGACGTCTAGTTAGAGTTCCTAATCATTGTGCTAGGAAACACAGAAACAGCACTTGTGCAAACCTAGATAACATACAGAGACCACTGAAGTCTTCCATCATCACTATCCTTCATGTTTAAACAAACTTGTACCCATGTACTTCTAGAAAATTCCATGTAGATAATAGCCATGTCCTACTTTCAGGAACACAATAGAGGTATTCTTCTGCTAGAAAACCTTCCCACAGATTTTCTGAGCGACCTGACCACTCCTCAAGAGTTTCCTTGTCCCTAGGGCAAGGAGTCCTTGGTTACCTTTGTGAGACTCTTTGTCTTTAGAATTGTCGTGAGCATTCATCATCAGCTGAAGGAAATCCACTCGGTGCTGGAAGCAGGAAGAGAAGTTGCAAAAATAGAAGGTGAATGGTGAGGTCAGAGGTGGATCAGGGGTGCAGAAGCTTAACCTCCTTTCTGAGAATGTAGCTCCCTTAAATTCACAAACATGTCTAGTATTGCTTGAGTTATCAAAGGACAGAAGCACCAGTGGCTAAACCAGGAAGCAATCCAGCTACCATATCAACAACTTTTCCAATTAATTTCAATAGACAAGTTTAAACAATAACTTTGATTTTTTGAAAAAGTTTTTGAAGGAAATTAAAATAGTATTTCCCTCCATTTTAGTCATTTTTATTCTATTCTTAAAGAATTTCATACATGTTTATAATGAGACATGGTCATATCCACCCCACCATTTTCTACTTTTGAATTCTTCTATATCCCTTGTAATGTTTCTTCCTCCAAATCTCATGACCTCTTCTTTATAAATAATCCACTAATTTCAAGTGATGCTACCCATATGTGCCTGTTTGTGGGGCCATCCACTAGTGCATGAGAAACCTACTGGTGGCCAGACCTATCCTTCTGAAGCCATGAACTACCAATAGTTTCTCAGTAAGGGGTGGGGCTTGGAGAGTCTTCTCTCACCTATGCTGGAGATTTGACAGTCTTCATCTTGTGTAGGTCTTGATCCTTGCCATTTTTGTTTCAATCCTTATGTAGGGCACCCTGCTTTTCATTCATATTGCTAAGGGTTAATTCCTGGATAACTATCAATCAAATTTTCAGAACTCAATTTTCTCTTTTCCCAGGAAATATAAATAATTCTCTCTCTCTCTCTCTCTCTCTCTCTCTCTCTCTCTCTCTCTCTCTCTCTCTGTGTGTGTGTGTGTGCTTTTCTCTCTACCTTTAGTAATAAATGAAGGGAGCACACTGTTTTCATATTCACAGCCCAACATGTTATCAAATCCTGAACATCTCATAAGACTACTACTTTTTACCTTCTGGTTATAATCCAGGCGATGTTCCTTCATTTTGTACACAAATTTTCTGAAAAATTCTATGGAATCCTTTGGGAACAGGGAGACATTTAACCTCTCATATATTGGGGTGATGAATGGAAAGAGTACTGGAAAGGATAAATTAAAAAATAAGCTTTAGTGAAAATGCAAGTTTCTTTCAGAGAAATCATGAAACAATCTAAAGAACAAGACACCAATGTCTCATCCAGAAGCTGTTTTGTCTGTGACCTTGTTCACACTGGGTCACATCATCATAATGCTCCTTCTGCACTTCGGAGTAGACAAAGGAGCAAATCTGCCTCTTGGAATTAACTCTGCTCCTGTAGTTCTTTTGGATCCAGGAAGTATAGACAGGGGCCTTTGACATGGTTCAACAGCTAAATGCTCCTGTAGACAAGCCTAACAACCAGAGTTTAGTTTAATCCCTGCATCCCACACTGTGGAAGGAGAGAACCAACTACTGTAAGTTGTCCTCTGATGCCACACAAACACCAAAGTGAGCACACACACATACACACACACACACACACACACACACACACACACACACACACACCACATAAATAAATAATTCTATTAGCTAATAAGTAAGTAATAAAGAAATAACAGTCAAGATGGCATTTGTTTCTCAAGTGGTGTGATGAAAAACAAAAAATAGCAACAGAAAGGATCTGAGGAAAATCAGAGGTATGTGTAAATTAATCAATACAGTCTTATTAAGCAATGGGTAAAAGAAATCCAGGAGGTAATTGGAAAATTTGTTGAGATATAGTTTCATGGTACAGTGCTTGGCTAGCATGCATGAGATCTTGGGATGTCCTCTACAAAGCAAAGGAGTAGAAAATGTCTTGAGAGAGTAAGAAATGAAGATACACCAAGATTCATGCAGAGAAAAGGCAAAGAGGCTTACAGCCTTCATTTTTAAATCTCAAATAATCAAACTTTACATTAAAATACAATTTTAAACAACTAACTCCAGAGCTGGAGAGATGACTCATTGATAAAACATTTATCATATAAGCAAAAGACATGAGTTTGGGAACCAGCACCCCTTTAAAGCCAAGTTCAAAGACAGAAGACCCAAACTCAAAAAGAAAGAAAAATCACACAATCTCCCCCACTTCCAAACTCTAGCCTATAATGAATATATGATCACACATAAGTGTAGATATGGAATGATGCTTAAAAGATGACCAGGAGAGGATGATATTAGGTGTTGAGGAAGGATGGATGTAGGCAAAAGGACACATGAGTTGTAATTAGAAAAGTAATTGACAGAGAAGTTATTAAAACCCTAAACAATGCACCACTGCTAACTGTACCCAACACATACACAAAAAAATACTACAGGGGCTGGAGAGATGGTTCAGCAGTTAGCACTGACTGCTGAACAGAGGACACAGATTTGACCAGCACCCACGTGGCTGCTCTCAACCATGTGGTACTCCATCCAGTTCCAGGGGATTCCATGCACTCTTATGTCCTCAGCAGGAACAGCATGCATGTGGTGTACATACATGCAAGTAAAACACAAACACACATAACATAAAAATAAATCTTTTTTAAAATATTAAAGCAATTCAGCCATGCAAGAGAGATGATCTAAAAGCAGATATTAACACATCAACTTTGTTTTTTAATTGCATTAGGACTAAGGAAATACTAATCAAAACCATATGTCCGGTCTGCAGGGTATCCACTAAGTGGAAATGATGAAAGTCTTAGGAGAGCTGAGTGGAGTGTGGAGGACCTGGAACTCTCCAGCATTTCCAGAAGACATAGAAAATGCTGCAGCCATTGTGGAAAATGCATGCTCCATTGTGATATATTTAAAAGGGGTTACTTTGTGACTCAGGAACAATTCTGAAACCATATCTCTAAAATATAAAAACAAATACTCAAACATAACCTTATATGCAAATGCTCATAGCAGCAAAATTCAAGGAAACATGTAATACTAACTTCAGTGTCCATCAGTGCATATGGAAAATTACTCATTCATAGACACGGGAGACAGTGACACTTGCTTCATGTAATAATATTGTGCTAAATGACAAAGGCCTGCCACAGAGATGACCAAGTCTATGATCAGACTGGTGTGAAATAGCCAGAATGTGTAGATACACAGAAAATGAATTGGTGGTTGCTTAGGTCATGTCTGCTTGAAGGATGATGGTGCAAATGTACAACATGGCTAGAAAAAAGTACTCTTCAGGTGACATTGGTAACAAGCCATGTAGACTGTCATTCAATGCAGACTCCTGAGTGATCAAAGTTCTGAGAATAAGTGACTGTTGAGACCTGAGCTCTACATGGAGCATCTAAATCAACAACCCCATCATGCAAGGCTCAAGGAATATCATGTAAGAGAATGTGGGGATAAAGTAAGAACTGGGGAGGGATGATGTGAAATGCTGATCCTGGACATGGCATGGCCTACTCATGAACTGACCAGCTGCATGAGAGCACATCAATAATACTGGTCAGCATCCTAGGAGAAAGCACTGATTGGAGTCACTGAGTGACCAAAAAATGGTAAGGGACATAAATTAGGAGGAAGAAGTGTTGGGGTATCTGACCGAAGTGAGAGTTGAGTATTACTGGTGGGTATAATCAAGATAGAATGTATATGTTTATGATATTGTCAAAGGATAAATAAAAGAATTCTAAAACAAAGCCGAGAGTGGTGGCTTACACCTTTAATCCTAGCACTCAGGAGACAGAGATAGGGGGATCACTGTGAGTATAAGGCCAGTCTGGTCTACACAGCAAATTTTAGGCCAGCTATAGCAACACATTGAGATCCTGTCTAAAAGAAAAATGAAGTCCTAAAACATAATTAAGGGGATACATATCTTTGAATGCACGAAAAATATTGGACTGTTCCTTTAAGGGGGTAAATTGCATACCTACAGAGCTATTAGTTTTGGTAAGTATGAAAGACAAAGGCAGAACTGATAAACATGGCTACAGACAGGAGCAGTGCACTGGTCTAAAGGCAGAAGAACCATCAAACATACCTACTGACAGGAATAGTGGATCAAAGAAATCAAATCTTAAGAGCTTCCTGGCCTTTTCCACAAAAGGGTCCTTTGGGTTGTTGAGGGAATCGACGCTCACACCAAATGCCGTGCTTGTGATCACATCCATGCTGTAGGCCCCAAACACTCTGGGCAGAGAGAGACATGGGGATTTATCACTTGCAGAAAGAAGCTTGGAATAATTCATATTCTTGGGCAAGACAGGCACAACCACCTCAGTACTGACCAAGCAGCTTCCCCCCCTAGCCACCCTCTCCCTTTGTGACCTTAGTATATCATGTTTCTTTTTCAACAGTATATTTTGTCTTCTAGTGTCTAAAAGGGGAAGGAGGAGCAGCTGGTCCATGTGAGACACACAGAAGGGTGACCCTTCTGCCCCAGTTGCCCTTGCTCTCCCGGAACCACAGTGGATGTACGTTACTTACTCTTTTGTGATGACAGGCTTGCCTTTCTCTGCCTCTCTTCTCAAGTATTTCACCAAAATATCTCCATACTGCTCAATGATGGGGAACATCTAAGAACAAAACACAAAGGCATGCATAGCTAGGTATGGAGACTCAAGCCACACACACATTTCAAAATGAAGTCTTTTTAATCACCTCTTTGAGTTTTCCACTGGTGAAAGTGGGAGACAGCAAGGCTCGAATTCTCTTCCACTCCTCATCCTTAGATATGGAGACTGCTTTACTCATTATCCCCACTGGGCCAAAATCCTATAGCCCAACAAAAATACAATTATTGCTCCCTGTAAGTCCAGGACTTTCCATGGTTGCAACAGTGCTATTTGCATATTGCTGTGTAACAATTAGTTCCTGACTTTTTACTATGGATCAAGCCTCATGCTAGATACAAAAATCCTCAGAATTTCCTCACAGCTTATAAGAAATCAGGTGCTCACTGGGCTGCCTGTTGAGCTTTAAAACTTTCATATTCCAGGATTCTTAAATATAAATCTCTCTGTGGTTGGAAAATTAGTTCCAAGGGTAAGGGTTGAAAATGGAAACAAGACTTAGTAGGTTCTCCAGAGCTACGCAGATGACAAATGGCTTGAATACAGACAGAAAGTTAACTTTCCATCAGACAAGTTCTGAAGTTCTGCATTTACAACATAAGTGATGTGAAAAGGGATGTTTTGACACAGTGTGCATGTGTGTGTGCGTGTGCGTGTGCGTGTGCGTGTGCGTGCGTGCGTGCGT